GAGTTATAGGGAAGAACGATTCTGATGAACATCCAGGTAAAACCCTTGAGCTGTTTGCCTTTATGAAAATGTAGAAGGGCAGGAAGCAGTTTAAGTAAATAGCGCACACTTATCTTTATGTCTTTATACCCATAGTTAGGTTTTACAAAATGCTTTTCAGTGTGTTTCTCATTCACCCATTCACAAACCAATGGCAAAAAAATCTGCCATGCAAGGTACTGGCCTGCCATCAGGGGCAAGATTGGGTTTGATGTTTTGCCCAAGGACACTTTGGCACAGCCATTGAGCTACCAACAGATACATACACGAAACTGTAAGAGGCAAATTATTTTTACTCTTTATTGGAACTGAAATGTGGATTATGACATAAACAACAAAAAACATCAGACATGCCCTTTAATACTTAGTTCTGCATTAATCTGATACATGTGGTACGTTTCGGTAATGTTTCGCTGTAGAAGATGAGTAACGCCTCTAAAAACAAGAAGGACCACGAGACATGAAGCCAAAAATCTATTTAAGTGTTTCTTGAAACAAGAGATTCCAATGCAATCAATGCAAAACCATCTATCGGCACATCCCAAAATATTGCCTGAGTAAGTAAGAACTCAAACATGTTCATGTAACAGAACATTACTGAAATGTTGTGTCAGTTTTCTACAACCTTTGCTGTGTTCATTTTGTCGATTGTAAAGATTTTTTGGGGGGGTTTTAGACTGTTTGTCAGTCAAAACAACAAGAAATCCAGCACAATAAGCTGAGAAGGCCATATTACCCCAATCTAATTTTCCTTCATATATATTACGATAACTAATGTATTATTTAAGAAAAAGTAATCATCTGAGTAATAAATTATGAAGACAATCATTAGTTGCATCTCTGTATGCATTTAATGGAAGAACCTGATGGCTTGTAGCTCCATGCTGATGATGTTATGACAATAATGGGTTCCTCTGTTCATCTCTCAGTGTCGTCTTCTGGTTTGACGAGCGGAGTCAGATGAAGTGAGTGCAGGGACGCCGCGGTGGACCGTATGCACAGAGGTTCAGCTATTCTGCCTTCGGCCAACCATCAGGGGGTTCCTCTCTTAGCTCCGTGGCATAATTGGCAAACCGTGCGGTGTCATCTTACCCTTCTCTTTCAATGCGGCCTTTTTTGCCCCCCTCCTCCCTTCCCAGAAAGGGTGGAGAGCGAGAGAGCGAGTCTTTTTCTCAGATGCCGGTTTTGGTTTGCCGCAACAGTCCATTGACAGTTTGGCTCAAAAAGCGGCTACATACTGAGCTTCATATATCTGGGTCAGGGTCTACTAATGTAGGTGACAGGGGGATCTGGGGATTAAAACCTCTTTATCTGCCTTTGCATAAATCCCGCTTTATAGCCTACACTTCAGCTTTAGCTAATATGATTTGTATTGTCACCAGTTTGCCTGCAGGCTAGCTATATTTGATCTACGTGGATGCCAACCGCGGACCTTTCGCAGAGGCTCTTTTTGCTTTTGTGCGGATCGGCCATTTGAGCAGAGGGCGGGTAAGTGATGAGACGCACATTGTAGCTGACGTGAAAGATCTCAGTTCAAGCTGTTAGTCACTGGACAACTGTATCTTGCACGTATCCACGCTTCGGTTCTGCAACGTGAATGTAACAGTTGAGCAATGTTCTCAGGTTGTTGTTTGTCTGCACCTGCCAACTCATCTCTGAAATCACATTACTTTTTTTTATATATATTTTTTTAAGCACAGTAATTCCCTTATCTGTAATGCAAATAAATACTTTCCAAAGACTGATCCATTGTGTCAGACTACCTCTAACGATCTTCTCTGCAGCAAAGTGCATTGTGGGATAACCCTTGTCAATGCGAGGCCTTCTCCAGATGGACCGAGCGGCTCAGGTTACACCGCATTTTTCAGTGCCCCCTCTATCCAGCAGCCCCCCTGGCCCCTTTCTCCATCTCTCTCTCTCCCTCACAAACACACACACAGTTTCCTGGGTGGGTAGAGTTGAGCTGAGACAGTGCTTCGCCTGTGTTCTAATGCAGGCTCCAGAGCATTAGTGAAATAAGATTATCATCGTTCTTACGCAGTGTCTGGGTTGGAGGTGGACAGAGGTGTGAGATGGGAAGGTGAGGAGGCCATTATTAGACTATTAGACTACATTACGGTGGAAGACGCTTCATCAGCAGCGTGTCGGCTCCAGATGTATATTGAAATTGATTTAGTTTTTTTTAAAATGGAATGCATTATTCTCAGAGTTCCACAGAATAGAAAACTCTTTTCATCTGACGTCAGCGGGGCAACCATAAAGGGATTTTTTTTTTTTCTTTATTGAAAGGAATACCTTAAATGTGCAGGTTACAGAGGCCATTTCCTTGCATGAGTTGTGGCCCAACCCTTTTGGTCAGGCAGAGGGGTAGAGCTTATGTCTTGTTCGAGCAAGAGGGGGCTTGGACTGCAAGCAGTTTGCCCATATGTGTGCGTGCCCAGTGTGTGTGTGTGTGTGTGTGTGTGCAGGGCCTGGGATGCACGTATTAAGAAACGATTAGTGGAGATTAAAGCTCTGCCCTAGAGTCTGCTTGCACGACTCCAGGCAACAAGAATGACCAACCCCTCCCTTCTCCTCACCCCGCAGTGCCCCCTGTGGAGCCGCAGAAGCCCCGGCCGAAGCCGAGGCCGCCGGGCCAGGGGGAGGATCGATAGGGCTACCTCTTCCCTCTTCCCAGTGATCTTCCACCACTAAATATATTGGCCCCCTTAGAACAGAGTGCGAGCACTCACGCTGCAGCCCCGACCGCCTAGATTGGATGGTTGTAATGACTTCCAATCAGATTCAAAGTCGGTTGATGGATGTGATGATTGGAAGAGTGCATTGCGGTGTGGTGCATGATGATGTAACAGTGTCACACACACAATGCAGCACTTTATAAAACAATAACTATGAGGCTTAACTGCTTGAAATGCAGGTAAAGTAACCAACAAATATATGTATTCATACAGAACATCTTTCCCAAGTATTTTAGTTTTTCATAGTTAAACACAATTCTGAATAAATATGTTACAAATAACAGAACTTGCCTACTGTAAAGATAAAAATTAAAAGTGAGTTATGTACAAGGAGGGTCTAAAAAGTTAGTTAAAGTAATGAATACATAAAAAGTGTACTGTTGGCAAATATTACTTTTAAATTAAATGTCTCAAAAAGCTTCATTTTCAATTTGAAAATTAGTGTAGTGTAAATGATTATTAAAAGACAATGTAGTAACATAAAAACTGAAGTATTTATGTTTTTAAAAATGTAATAATTATAGGACACGGTGGATGGAAGTGACAACATTAGCTCTGTCCTGTTTTGAACTGGTGCTAATTCAATTCAGGTTCAGCTTTAGTCACACAGTTAAAAGGTTTCAATGCACTCTGTGTGAGTGTTACTGAGTGGATGGAGGCGCAGAGGGCGACAGAGATGGAGGAGGGAGAGACTTAGGTAGCACGAGGTGCAGACCTTTTTCCAAGAAAGCACGCTAATAAGGCCTCTAATCTGCAGTGACACTTTGCATGCGTGCCACACACCTCCAATGACAACACAAGCCTCCTCCTTCCTGCGTGGACCCTCACCACGTACTCCACCTCACCGTGGGGGTCCCAATCTGAAATGACAAGATGTGGTGGAAAAGAAACAAAATAAAATGGGATCTTTTCATCTGTGTGAATGCAACCTGGTTCGGGCTTTAATCTGGAGGAAGAGCGGGATATACACTGACGCCTGATAGATTAAGGCCTGAACGCTTCTCTCTCTCTGTTCTACTCTGCAACAGAAGGGCCCTGCTAGCAAATCCCAGGCTTTAAAGCAGCGGAGGTTCGGACAGCTTATGATGTAATCAAGGCCCTGTCTGTCACGGCAGGAAAGGTGGGGGAGCGATGCAGAGGAAAGTGTGGAGGTTAAAGGGTTGTGTGGCAAGTGTACGGATATGAATAATGTGGGACTCTACAAAAAAAAAAAAGAAAAAAAAGAGGAACAAGGCTGTGAAGTTGCCATCTGTGAATACCAAACATAAAGGTTGTGTGTAGAGGTGCAGAGGTGGGAGAAGGTCACTTGTTTGCAGGATTTAAGTGTGCAGTCAGATTTCAAGGCTAATATCTGGAGTATAGTTATTTATAGATGAATAACTAAAATATCAGAAGGTGAAGCACGTCTAGATTAGTGACTTTAATGAAAGTGAAATGTAACATTATATACAGCCTCGACTGCTTCACTGATGAGATGCTGATTCAAACCAAACAGGCTATAATGTCGTAACACTGGAATTTTATCAACATAATTTTTAATTTTGGAAACGTTATTGTGTAATTGAATGTGAAAAGTCAAAAATAAAGTTCATTTTTGACATGTTTAAGGACTGATGAGCCATCAGATTGAGTCTTTACTTCTATTAAGTACTTTTAAGAAGCACTACAGTTTCAAACTGAAGAACCAAAACACAGTAAGAAGTTGACAGATTCACAGCACACATTGTGTCACTGGCATCTAAAGTTCAGGAGTAATGCTTCATAGAAAATTATGTTGGCAATATGTTTGTATTTACGTGATAAGTGTAAAATTTGTGCTACTTGAAGCTCAATTTTGGTCTTCCAGAAAAAGATCTGCACCTACCTCTCTAAATTTCTGTTTCTGTGTGTATGTTCATTAGCTTTTTTCAGTATATGGCCACGTAAAGGGGTTGAAAAGAGTTGAGAGACTTAACTATAAACTATATGTGTACAGCAAATATTAAAAATTGTCTAGGGCCACCACTATAGCTCAGCTGGTTGAGCTGGTGACCCATGCAATGGGGCTATAGTCCCAGATGCAGCGCTTGTGGGTTCGAATCCAGCCTATGGCCATTTGCAGCAGGTCCCTCCCCCATTCTTCTCCCCACTTTCCTGTCTCTCTCCACTGTCCTGTCAAATAAAGGCAAATAGGCCGAAAAAATAACTAGAAAAAACCAGAAAATGTCTTGAAGACCAGCCTTATCACATGCAGATATTTTATTGTGAAAAACACTTTAGCATTCCATGTTTTCAGCAAATAACTGAGAGAGCAACTGTTTGAATGGTGAACAGCAGCCATTTTATTGGACAATATTTTTTTCAAATACAAGTCTGGTGAGAGTTAAACTGACTGTTACAGCTGCATCAAACTAAGTTGATTCCTGCCAAGCGTTTTGTTTTGTTGTTTTTTTTGGGGTTGCAAAATACTGCAGCTCCAAGTACGACCAACGTCCCGTCATTTACAAAGTGATGTGGACCACCGAGTCTTCAGTGACATACAAAGGAGTTCGTGTTAAAAACAACATACCAAGGGGGTGCGCTCCTCCTATCCATGCACTGGGAAAGAAACAAGATTTGGTAAACAAAAAGACTGCTTCAAGAAGTCAAGCTCAGCAAATCCAGCGGTAAAAAACACCTTCATGTACTGTGTTATCCTGAGTCTTCGCAAATTTTGGCATGTGCGTGGACTACAGTGGAACAGAACAGGGAACAGAACATGACAAGACGATACTCCAACATAATATTTTATCATCTAACGTGAGAAAAATGTCAGGGAGTGTCTACAGCTCAGATGCTGCTCCGGAGAGATTCAGGTGGAAATCTTAGAACAGTGATGATAGAGGGGGTGGGGACAGGGAAACAGAAAAGGAGTGATTTCTGACTATGGCACTGAATTTTTAATGTATCCTAGAAACAGAACAGTCAAGAACACAGAAGATACCGAAAAAAAAATCCAGAACAATGATAGGTAACACACTCTTGAGTGAAGCAGTGGTGGCTTTCCTCCTGGGCTTTTTGGTTCGTCATTGTTTTAAGTAAAGGTTAATTGTAAGGAAATAAATATTTAATACTCCACAAACACAGAGCTTTAAAAAAAAAACAAAAAAAAACAACATGAAGCTAAATGGGAAAAATAAAATAAAATTAAAAAAAAAAAAAATGACACCAACAAAAGCAATATCTTTACATAGTAAACACAATGCATTAATAACTTCCTTCCCCTGCAGATGTACATTTAAAAATATATTTGACATTGTACACAGCGACAGTGACGTCTTGGAAAACCGAGATAGATAAACAAATCTCCAAGGTGGCCTTTTCAGTGCTTTTCTACTCCTTCCAAGGTTCCCGAATGTCACTGCTCCAGGGTCACAACCTCCACCGCCTGGCCGTCCAGTGTGACAGTGTTATCTATGCGTGTGGCGACAGGTGCCATGGCAACCTGGACGGGCCGGTTGCCCTGAGCGAGGCTGGTCACGACGGTCTGGTACATGCTGACTGGGATCTGGACCAGACCTGAGGGGGAAAAAAAAAAGAACATGTTGGAGCTGGACGCAAAACACAAACTGAGCTTCTGGGGTCTATTTTAGTTATTAGATAAAACACTGGTGTCGATTCAGAGGAAATGATGTTGAGAGTTTATGTTGCACGCTGTGTTTGGGAGGCCGTCGAGTCCAGGTAGGTGTCTGTGACAGGGGGCAGCCATGTTACACAGAAGGCATTTCTGAACAATGGTCCGATTGAGCGTCCTCGGCTCGCTTCCCCCTTTCCCAGCTGTGTGTGTGTGTGTGTGTGTGTGTCTGCCTGCCTGTGGGGATTATTGCTGCAGTCACGTGGGCCTCTGCCCCACCCTGCAAGCTGTCACAGTGTCACAGGCAGGCAAGAAGGTCAGTGCAGGGGATGGCGGTGGCTCATGCCCGCTCCCATTACGCTGAGCTTAGACGCTGGACATTAAACGCAACAAGTACACATTAATACATTTTATAGCCCAGGCTATTTAAAGATGAAATGAAATCAGGCATTTTTTAGAACTATTCACCCTCCCGAAATAGCTCCCTTTTGTCAAGTTAGCTCGCAATTGTTGGTCGTCTTTGTAGGCTCTTGCTAAGCCCCCTTGCCGGTGATTTGTGACAGTGTTAAGTTGTGCTGATGCAGGTAATTGTACTGGCGGTGATTGGTGGGAGGGGGGGAGCTTAGGCCTGGCACAGTATGGACACAGCACAGCTTCTAACTGAAGAGCCTCACTTGACCACTCGAACATCGTTGCGTCGACGTTAAGGGTTATCCCCGGCGTGACTGTGTTTATGTACGTGTGTGTCTGCGTGCCTTTGTGAGTGAAGGGTCACTACACAAGCCAATCAGCAGCGTGTCTGGGCCAGCGCACTTCAAACGGCGCTCTTCACTTCTGTGTAGCACTACAGTGATTAGCTAAGGTCAATAGAGGGGAGAAGGACTGGCTTTGGCAGCTCCATTAGTTGGTTAAGTGAGCTATTGCGGACAAATGACTGCTTATGGTTTAGGAAGCAAAATGTCAAACAACAAAGGCTGCAGATGTTAGATTTGAGTAACTTGAATTTACATGTGTGTACAAATGTAGACTGGCATATCGTATGGATTATTTCATTTGCACAATGATTTACTAAATACTTTCTGTCAGGTCATTTTTATTTAAAAGTATGATCTTATGATGAAATTTATTTTTATTTGGATTAAGTCAAATTTCTAAAAGGTTGTCCATTTTGTAATCAAATTCTTATCACCCCAGTTTTCTATTTGTGTGCCCCTTAACTACAAATGCTGCAAAGATGCTGCACTACCTCCAACAATTAGAACCACTCGTTCAAACATCTGAACATGCACCAAACTCTGTAAACTGGGTCCTAAGACTGAAGGGCTCCTTTGGGTAAAAGAGATTTGAAGATATTTGAAACAAAACACTAATTTGTGCTTAAATGTAAACAAGTAAAAAAATAGCTTTTGTGTTTTTTGTTTTTAACTGTACCTGTAATGCTATACTAATCAGTTCTGGTCTTTGAATGCATGCTTCAGTGCTGTGACGTTTCTGCTAATGCGTGTTATGTGCATTAGGATGAGGAGACAGGAACACAAAGAGATGCGTGTATTGTTTGATTTTTGAGGGGCATTTATAAAGTAAAACTGCGTGTGAATATCGTGCATGCAGACGAGCAAGAGAAGTTGGGGTCGTGTGCTGACAGCTGGTCCAGTGATTAGACTGTGGACTGATAATGGAGTGGATCAAAGCTCTTTAGGAGGGCCCCTGAGGGACCTGTCCATGCCCCTGGACTACTGCACTCTGTGTGCGTGTGTTATGTGCGTGGTGCTGATTAGATGACGTGGCGAAAAAGGAAAAGCTTGACAGCTTGCAAGATGTGTGTGTAGCCAAGTCTGCATAGGCTTTGCTGGAGTACTTTCTAGTTAGACTTTTTACGTGTGCTGGCAGAAAAAAATCTAGACGTAGGAATTCATTCATTGCATCACTGCATTGATATTAAATCACAATGACTTGATGCACTGATCTAATAAAAACGGCTGAATCAAAGTGACGTCAGCAGTAATACACAACATGCAGTCATTGCATCAAATTGTGCTCTTAAAATTAAAATCACAAAGAAAACAGAGAATCACTCTTGAACCCTTTAATCATTTCTAAGCCAGCAATTCAAATACCTACCTACAAGAAAAAAAAGACATCAAGTCTTATGATGATGTGTTTTGGTTTTTGACAAACCAAACACAGAGACAGGCTAGAAGAATGTCTCAGTGTGTGATGTACAATACTGTACCTGAATATCTACATCAATGTGCATTAAACAACCAGTATTTACTAAGTTTAAGTCATCAACTTCAGATTAGTCTCCCTGTTTTCCACTTCACTGACAAGCAGCAGCTTCATGTTCGACCCAGCGGATGAAGCCTGAACGTATTCTAAAAATGGTTGTTAACGCTCTCCGACATGGATGTCACTACAAACTGGTGCCAATCCCAGCAGTGCATGCAGTGTGCATTTAGGGAGGGTCAGCCTTCAGCAACGTGTCATTAAAAGAAGGCTTGCATTGCTACAACATACACACACAAAAACACACCATCTGTCCCATCAGCACAGAGTAGATTAGAATGTAGGGGGGGGCTCAGGAGCTTCAGTGCTGCTGGTGGGAAGCTTACACTCAGTTGGGGTTAATTAGAATTGTCATTGGCTGAGGAACGTACGCAGTTATTAAAGATGTGGCGCGAACATTTCCTGATGAAAGAATTCAGTTGTTTTATTTAGATTTTTTATAACTAAAATACCTAACGAAATATTTCTAGTTTTTGAGCGTAAATTGGATTCCTGCTTTTCTGAAATCACAATTTATTCTAATGAAATTGTAAACTATTGGGGGTCTGTTATATAAGGAGAGACCTATAAAGAAATGTAGATGATAAAGCTCTATATCATACTAGTAGGAAATTTATTCAGTGCTGATGCTAATTTAAAATAGAGCAACTAATAAAATGCTAAATCTGGGATTTAACATTAAACTGTGCAAACGCTGTAATTAAAAGTGTGCTTTGCGTGTTACTTCAGTGTTGATGTGTTCATGACATTATGTGGGATGAATAGTTACCTGTGGCATCTTGAACCCCTGCCAGTGCCCCGACAGCAGCTGCTGTCTCTGCCAGGACAATCTGCCCTCCTCCTTGTAGAGTGGCTTCTGCCAACGTCGCTACAGCATGTGCCGCTGCCTCACTGCAACACACACAATACATGCAAAAACGTGTCCAATTTAAAATACATTCTCACAAGAAGGATGCTGATATTAAGGCTTTCAAGATACAGTCTTGGTACAAAGCCTAAAAGCTCCCTCTCACACACACACACAGTCTGCTCGTAAAGGCGAGGGTTATTAGAGGGATGTGGGGTGAAGAGCTGGGAGTGTAGGAGCTGTAAGAGGCTTTTCCAGTCTGGACTTATGGAGAATCTGTCACATCTCCCCAAAGGCCAGGTGCTATGGGTCTAACAAAGCAGTTTTATTAACCAGATCTCTCCAGTGGAATTACCACGAGCTTATAACCACACCAGCTTCGTTATGAACTAATGGAACCGTTCGCAGATTGGTCGATAATCACATCTGAGATAGAAATACAGATGGACAGAAAGGAGGAGGAGCTGCGAGAGTACAGACAGTAGACGGGATTGACACTTGCAGGAAGTCAAATATTGAATATTTCTCCCATCAATCCTGGCAGACAAACTGTTTTGGTTTTAGTGGTTAACATTGTGTGCCATAAACAAAAACTTAGATTAGATTGCCCAAGCTGGCAGGGATTTGCACATAATCATGGCTGATGAACTTTGGTGCATGAAAAGGTGTCATTTTTGGTCACACTGTCAACACAGCAGAAAAGACAGACTCCTGTCCTCCTCCTCCCCCAGAGCTGGAAAACAGACAAAATGTTCCAGAGCCTGTGGAGCAGTGAGCCCAGAGTAGCTCAGCACAGGTAAACAGCAGGAGGGGAGGAGAGAGGACTCAGGTGGGTGCAGGTAACAAGCCCCAAAGGGACGTGATCATACATCTGAAATGATCACCTTGACAGTGCCGCGGTGAAAAGCCTGCGAACATCTCGCTATCAGGCGGAGTCTGGCTGAGGCATTGAGCAAGTTAAATTCCTTAAAGATGATAAATAACAGCCGGAAAGATCACAGAAGTCAAAAATGTAGATCAGGAGGTTAGCCTGTTTTAGTTGTAGCTAAAGATTACGGCTAATTATTTCAACCTGCTGTGTTCTTGTGCAAACAGTCAGCCCTACATATGAGACGTGGTGTAAGAGCCCGTTGTTGATCCCATCTGAATACAGAGTCTATAATATGACTGAAAACATTTTAGGCCCAATGCATACTGTGTACCTACTCCTACCAATATCTCAGTTACAGCTACAATCATGTATTTATCACCTGCACTTGCTTTTTCTTGAACAAACAAAAATTTAATCAAGCTGTTAGCACATAAAATACGCTGCTAACAATCAGTTTAATGGTTTTGCACCTTGATGCTGCTGCTATAAAGACGACAGGCTAATTAACTGGATGCTGAACCAGGATGAGAATTCGTTGACTCCCATCTCCAGGGGACCCCGGTGACCTGCCCTGACAGTTGTCCCATTTTCAACCAGTTGTTAGAGCTGCTTGTGCAATTATGGATTCGTTGTATACTCTGTAGTGTTTGCTGGCTCCACCTTTGTAAAAGCTAAATCCTACAGTCTGATTACACTTCCTCTAGCATTTATAAGCTTGAGGATACAAACCATAACTGCTAGTATGATCTATCTGAGGACTAATGTTCTTGTTAAAAATCAAGAGAGGGGTTCACTTTGAAGTCTTTCTTATAATTCACTGGTAGGATTTTTAAAATGAGAAGAAAACACAATGTTCCTGAATATAAAAAAAACATTCTGTAATAATCCCTGAACTCTCATGCTGTCTTCCTGCCAAATGTTTTCAACAAAATGCAGTTTACTTGTGATTTTACAAGCCCACTAAAAGCTGCAAAAACTGCACAACGCAATCTTAAATTCTCTTCACATCACCTGTTGAGGGCCATTGTGACTGTGGCTCCGGGCTGGATCTCCTGACTGGCGGCGACAGCAGCTTCGGCCAGCGACGCCACAGCCTGCGTGGCCTCTGATGCTTGAGTGGTTTGGATTGTCATCTCTCCGCCCTGGAGGGTGGCCCAGTTTTGCTCCACCTGGAGGAAAAAAAAATACACAAAATGACTGACCATCGCTAACGGGGTGATACAAATGTGTGCAAATATTGCTGATACTGGACTGCAGGTCTTGATTTTGTGGTGCTGAATGGACAGCTCCCATCAAATGCACTTTGCACCGAAACGTTAGTGGCAATTTTTTAAATCTTTTCTAAATACTTGTTAGATCTATGAATTATTATGTCCAGAAAATTAAGGAGCCATTGATTTGGGGTTCATTACTACATCAGGAGAACGAGAGTACACTCTGGCATATTATATTATTGTATATGTGAGAAGCTATGTATGTAACACATGATCAGAAAGGCATGTTTGAGTGCATGTGTGCATTACCTCTCCGTCAGTCACAGTTGAATAGTTAACCTGTGCCACTGTCACACCAGGCAGCTCTGAGGCATCTGCCAGAGTGGCAACTGTGTGTCCGGTGCCAACCTGAGAGAAACATGAATGTTGAAGGTTTATCAAACTTAAAAAAAATAAATAAATAAACTGAGCTTTTAATTTATATATATATGTACACATTTAAAACACTCAAGAATATAATGACCATACAGCAACTTCAGCGCACCTGGATAAGCGAGACGGTTCCATCAGGGTTGTTGATGGTCTGTACCACAGTTTGTGAGGGCACGAGGTGAGCGATGCTCTGTGCAGTGGCCAGGTGGTGCTGGGTGGTGGTTGCCGCAGTTACCTGCTGGTCTTCAAAAGCATATAATAGATCCTCACGGCCGTGCTGCTTATAGCAGTTCTTCACTATAGTCCGCAACGCCTGCGTCCATGACACCTGGGGAAGGACAGACAATTGTTGATGGGAGCAATATTTTTTAAGATAGTTTACATAAATAAATAACAAAGATGGATGATATAGAATAGGTTCAAACAGATATGTTAAAGGAAGTGTTTTTGTCATTTTGAGACACAAACCTTTTTCCTTTCTTGGCCCTCAAGTCAGATCAGATAGTCAGCTTAAAGTCTCTTTACTGCCATATAGCAGAAATCTTTAGATGTTTTTTTACACTGCAGTTTCGAGGTGAAAATGCTCGGCTATGAGGTTGGCTGATTTTTTTGAAAACAACTTGATTTTCAATAGAGACGGTTTTCAAAATAAATAATTGATCTTTCGCTCAAAAGCCATAAGATTACACTACCAGGAAATCTAAAGCTTACTGATTAGCAAATCATGTGTCTTTTGATGTTGCTGCCTGTACCATCATATTTATGGTGCAGGTATGGAAGCGATAACTGTTTTATAAACTAAATGACTAAACTATGCCTTTAAGAAATACTGACATTGTAACTGAATTCCACATTGCAGTTCCCATAGAGATCTACATCTTCAGATAGCATCAAATATAACTCATAACTGAGACAGAAGGGGATCAAAAAGATGTGCTAAAAGAAACTTTCTCATCACTGTAAAATCAGGGATCTGGATTTGGCACCTCTTATAATATGCTTTTTTTTGCCCTGTTTGTATTGCTTTAAAATGAGGCTGAACAAAAAAATAAATGTCATTTTCTTTGAGTTCCTAAACACGACACAGTAAGTTCCAACAGGATTAATTTGTGGAGGATCATGATCTATAAAATTTTTGGACACCGGTGATTTCTCTTACTCTCTGTTTCTGCTCCTCTGTGCGGACATCACTGCGGACGTTGGCCCAAGGGATGTCCTCAGGCCACCACACTGGCTTGCAGCTCTCCTTACCCCAGCCAGGCTTCCCTCTGCCTGTTGAGTACTTCAGCATCTCTGGGATAAACGCTCGCAGCTGAGCCTAAAGTAAAAGAAAAAAAAAAAAAAGATGCATGAGTAAAAGAGATAACGTAGACACCAAAAACTCTAATGTCGAGAGCTGTGGCGTTCCACCCACACACATATGAGCACACACGCCCTTGAACAGGCAGCAGGAGACGCGTATTGATCGGCTACCTGCTGCCGAGTGCTGAGGTGGTCAAGGCCTGCAAATAGAAACAGGCTTTCTAAAAGGAGAGCCGTGCGCTCATGTTTATTAACAGACCAATCTATGGCTGTGGCTCCAGCCTGATGTGTCAGACTGACACCATGAGAACATCAGGGGTGATCCAGCAGTCAGTCTGTCCCAGCAAAGGCTCCAGTACACTCGGGGAAGGTATTAATAAGGACAAGTGGGTCAATATTGTTAAAAAGAAAATCAATGTCAAACAAAAACATTAGATTAACTTTGATCACTCGTGTGGCGTGCTACTATATGGACTTGTGCAGAGACTCAAGTCCTTATTTCATTATTGTAGACGGAGCGTATCAATGAGTGAACCACTTACAAACAATGAAGTAACCAAGTCTCTGTACTGCGGGACGGTAATTGTGGGACGATTGGTTTGTCCTGGAGTCAAGACACCAGCACTCTAATAGCATGTATAATAAGCCTCAGAATTTAAAATTTTTGCTTTAAAACGAGAAATGAATCTTTGCTTAAACTGAACAATAAAACTGAATTAAAAAAAACAAAACAAAACTGTTTCATCTTATTTAAATGTATCTGAACGCACGTGAAAAACTACATGTTTCATGCCATTGCGTTAAGAGCTAATAGCTAATAATGCAGATTTTACATGCTGCATTAGCTGGCTTCGTTAATACCATCATTTAAGCTCTTAAATTATGACCGACTGAATATTAGTTACACTGCATTGCCAATTTATGCAGCTCCACCTACACAAAATGAATGCCCTTTATAAAAGTCACAGTGTCAGTTGTTGTTGAAACTATATTAACAGGTGCTGAAGCACTTTGACAGTAATTTCAGAGGATGTTATTGGGATGATACATTGTGTTGCTGTACTTAAGAGGTCTTATTGAAGAAAATGGGGCAAGTTAGGTTAGCTGAGTTTACGGAGCCTAATTAAACCTGAGTGCAGGTTTAATTAAACCAGATAACCCCCAAGTATGCTGACCATAAACCAAAACTATTTTCTAAATTGTTTTTGAATTGTGTGCTTCCTTTTCCTATGCTTATTTCTCTGTCCACTGTGTCCCATGAGATGTCTGCCAGACTTTGCATTGCATCCCAAAGAAGGGAGTGGGAACGGCTGATGCTCCCAATCTAATCTGGTTCGCTTGCTATCGATCATGGGTGCACATACTTCATGTGCAGCAGTGAGTGGCACGCATAGTCACTCACCACCACATCAACACTTCCAGAATAGGCGTACATGCACATTCACTGACATGCTGTGGTGGGGTTTAGTGCAAATGTCCTTAGTGTCCTGGTAATATGCAAGCATCACCGGGGGATTATATTGCACAATGAGGCACTGCAGCGTCTGCCTGCCTTGACATCACAGGCTAAATTTGGTTCCGGGAGAAATAAATCCCTCCCTTCTCCCCATTAGACCCCCTTTTCCAACTCACAATCACAAACCACCTATACACAGTTGCTCACTGCACCACACAAAGATTTATGACAAAATGGATCGTATTTTGAAAAGGGAGGGTCAAAGCTTTATCACAACAGCTTCGGAGAAACAGACAGTACATCTGGTGGCAGCAAGAACTGGGATGAAAACTTGGATTAGAAAAGGACTTAGTAGCAAACAGATTCTTGCATTTCCACCTGTAGATGATGTGAATGTATGCGTGCGAGGCCAGATGGCCTAATTACAGTGGCTAGTGAGCTAAGTGGCATGTTGCCCTCACACCCACCTCCCCACCCCCTATCCTAATCCTCCAAGCAGTGGTCCAATCAGAATTTAGAAAAGCAGCTATGTTGCCGGGTCTCTGAACCTAACAAGGCGAGGGGGTAATTACGGGCTCAGGCGAGACCCAGGATCACCTGCTACAGATGCTTCATATATCTGACGGGCGAGAGCTACTTCTGCCTGTATCTCTAAACCTCACTTGGGATTTCTTCAGCTGTGCAAAACCTGCTGCAGATGTATTCAAATAAAACATCAAGTGGCTGTTGATATGGATCAGGAGAACTAAGTCTGAATAAGCCGTCTCTTATCTTACTTTCATGCGTGCCATTTCAAAGGGTCATCAGTCTTTCCCAAAGGGTCTCAACAACATCCTGTTTCCAACACATATATAGAAAAAACACCCACCCCCCCGTCACCTCTCCACCTGGTTTAGCCAAGCTGAGTGAGGCAACAGGTTACTCCTGATAATCTCATCCTACTACCTCCAGAAAAACAAGCACCAACTAACACCTGCCCTCCAAGGATTCACCTGGCGCTGGGATTGGCTGCCGTTGTCCCAGAGCTGTGGACCATCTCAGTGGGCCGCTGTCATGCTGCCTACTCTGACGATGATCCAGAGAATGCGTCAGCAGCACTGGGACGGCAGAGTAAACAAGCTGGGTTCCCCTGGGTGAACAGAGGACTCAGCCTGCCGGTGGTGCTAATGCTGCAGTGAGAGGCCGACCAAGAGCAGCGTACTCTGAACTTCCTCTCAGTGTGTGGCAAAGCTTAGCACTTAGCTTGATGTCGAATGCTGGCAGCAGCTATGCACCAGGGTTATGTCTGAATAACAATTTCTTCTAATGCAGATGCTGCTCTTCAGCATGAGAGCAAACTGAAGTTTTAGAGGAATAATTGCTGTTTGTACATAGATGAATCGAACAGCTACAAATGAGCATTTGACCTTGATACATATAGTTAGCTAAGCTCTTGCTCATCCTAGATATAAGATGCAATTTTCATTATTGTGGTTTGTTGGCAGCTGGTGCCCTCTGCTGGGAACATGTTGTGAATTTCTACAAAACAACAACTGTGTAACTCTGGATACACAAAGATCATTACTTTTAAAGTTTGGTCCTCAACAAAGTAGGAGAGAAACCCAATATGGACAAGCCTCACCTGGGTCATCTTATCCACAGAGACGGGGATGCCATCAATGGTGAGAGGGGGCAGCTCTGAGGCCAGCTCTCCACCGGCAGGGGCGTGCTCAGCCAGGGCGTTCTCCAGGTCCTCCAACATCATGCTCTTATACTTCCTCACCTAGTGACCGGGACAGACACATTGCAGTCTTTCAATCTGAACTTTTCATCTAAATACTAGATAAATCAAAAGAAATATATATATATATATATATGTGTGTGAGGCATAAGTGAGGCATGGAAGATTTCCATGCAATATCAGGATAAAGAAAACGGAAGCAACAAGGCAAATGCAGTACATTAACCCGTTGGAACCTGAGCAGTTTCTGGGTGTTTTTTTGCCCCCGGGAAAATTTTAACCAACGGGGGCCCAATTGTAAATGCAAACAAAAATCCGGGAAAATAAACGGACCAACCGGAACTGCCTGAACCCCCTGAAAAAGGTCCAACCCCCAACCAAAAAGCCTCCACAAGCCCGAACGAACAAGTGGGAAGTCCAAAAAACTAAAACCCTAAAGAACCAATAAAAACCGAAGTTCCGGATCAAATGGGGGGTGGTAACACCCCCTGGTAAGGGAAGTGGTAAGGCCCCCCACGCCAAAAAAGGGGTCAATAAGGGCAAAAAAAAAAAAACCCAAACAAACCCCTTGGGGCAAGGGCAACTACCTCCAATTGAAATCAAATCTACTAGAATAACCATGACCTGGATGACTGAGAATCTTCACAGACATTGCATTATAAACCTTCTGCACTTCTAAGGAAACATAATGGCAATCTTTATAAAAATTAGAAAAACTTGGTTAGACCAAATGGTTTATTTTTGTCAAATTATTAAATGAGACATGGCTTTTGATGGGATGTCATGAGGATTTTAAGTTTAGTTTTGGTTAGGTTTTCCAAGGATTTCAAGGACTGTCCAAAAGTTCAAAATCTGATGATTCTCTCTTATTACAGTTTCTGGCTCTGATGAAGGGTGGAGTTCTTGTATAGGCCACGTGCCTTTCAATCCCCCTTGTATGTTTTTAAATACAGAGGGTATAAGATGCACGGTTTCATGTACCTTTGAGGTTCAAACTTCCTACATAAGACTAGAGAAACACTGTAGGGGCATGTACGATTGAGAGAAGCCAACAGATTATTTTCTTTAAATGAAGGGTTGAATATATTTACTTTGATTCACGTAATGATTAAGATGAGCCTCTCAATGCAGGAACCCATTTGGCAGACAAATGTGTGCAGACAATGTGTTCAATCTGCCATAACAATAACACTCACCACATTCTCCAGAGGAGCAGCACCGAACACTTTGAACACAGGGTTGGGTTTGGAGGGGGAGATACATAACACTATGGCCTGCTGGCCCACTCTGGTGGTGTACTCATCCAGCGTCGCTCGCAGTTTCCTGTAAACACACACCATCTTTAACTTCCTTGTTCAGATTAAAAGACACAAACTGTAACCCAAACTCTGTCTCAAAGCATACAATGATGCATTTTTGTCATTGGAACTGATGAGGTCAGTGGTACAGGTGTTGGGAAAAGTGATCTTATTGGTGTTTTGAGCTCACCTGAGCAGGCGGGTCTGCTGCCTCTTACGGATGGAAGGGTTGGATTCAAAGATATGAGGCCTTTTTCTTTTCTTCCCGGTTGCCACAGCAGCTGCAGCTGCCATGCCCACTGGCCCTGAGAGAGAAAGCGAAGGAGAGCGAGCATGTTTGACTGTTAGGCTGGTAATCAGAACGGACAACATTCTGTAAAATGTGTTTAAGTGCAGTTTTGTCCTCTCTAATTTGAGTTTTTAATAAGTATCTTAGATAATTGTCAATGTTTAGTCTTCCTTTTTTATTTGGTTTTGACGTTTGTTTTTAACATGACTTGCAAATACAGCTCACTGACCCCATTTGGAAAATGTTAAAATAAAAGGAAAAAGAGGAAACAGGGCCAGCAGCTTGAGATGAGGCAACACAGTAGAGCACTGGCGCCACCTGCTGTTCAGATGAAAGCATTACACTGAAATCCAGCAGCTTTTATGTGTTACAGGACAAGTACATTTCACCAGAGATGCAAAACAGGAGCATCAGCTAAGAGATGAAACAAAACAGGAGGTCTGGTTTGTTCTGAGATGACAAAGTAACTTCACCAGTTCAATGTAAAGGATAACGAACATCAGCACACCAACAGAGAACCACACAAAATTCTCGGACAGATACTGAGCATTCTGAGACGCTGCTCATCAAATATTTATCACATTCCCACTCAAGGTTTCTCGGTGGATTAGAGACTCACCTGCGGCAGCCAGGTGAGCGGTGACCTCATCAGTGCCAGCTGAGTTGAGGATGTCTGTGTCGTCATAAGGATCATCGTCTGGCGAGGACGTCGAGTCCTCCTCGGCACTCATCATGGATGCTTCAGTAAAGGTGGCCACATGTACCTGCACACAGTGAATGTAAAATGGGTTTAAATTTTTAAGTTAAGTCTCATGGTCTTCCTATGTGACTCAGCATTATGGTTTCTGCTCTGATCTGACAGTCACACTAGATGGTAAAACAGTTACAGACACATACAAATAATGAGACTTGCACTGTACAGAAAACCTGTCCTTCCTCATTATATACATAAGTGCACCTGCTGGACCTGTTGGCTGACGGCGCTGGCCTCAATGGTGGTCATGTGTTCTGCCTGGTGAACGGTGTGCTCCTCCATTATCAGCCACCTGGTCTACACAGCTACAGTTACTGAGGAGAGAAAAAGAAGAGATGTGGCCTAAGACAATGTAATGAATTTACACTTATCCTTATTGTAATACCACAGAATTCCTTAATATACAGCATATAAACAATGATGCAACGTGTGCTATCAACTGATCTCAGAATCTACTATTATTGGTACCTTAATCCTACAAGACACTGCATCTCTATTGTATATATATTTATGTGAGAATGTGAGATTTGGAGCTATTATGACCTTCAAATCCTCCAGAATTATAACAGTGATCAGCTGTATGTTCTAGTATATTAGTGTAGAATAGTTACCATTACCCTTAAATTCTGCAAAAGTCTTGTGTGTAACAGCAGTGTGAAGATGCTGTGGTTATTTCCAGTTGCGCTGCTACTGCTCTGCCTCTAGAGGTGCATTAATGGGGAGTTTCATTTGGAACAACATTCCTGTGTGAAAGTATTGTTCTATTTTGCCATTTAGGATATGCTCCTTGTTTCCGTGCACTGATTGCATCACTCTCACTCTGCCTGTAGAGGACATTTATTATGTGTTCGATTACAAGTCTTGCAACTGATGTATTGCTACACATTTATTGATACAGCTGAGCACCACTACGACACACACACCACATTTTCAAGTCCAGCTGGCAGTAAATAAAGGAAATAAGTCAGTTTTAATTGGGCATATTCAGTAAATGCATATTTATTAGTGAATTGTGTGTGTGTGTATGGACAGAACTGATATCACAGGGTGGTTGATGGGTGAAAATCACTTGAATAATAATACATTGACTCAATATATTATTATTCAAGTGATTTTCACCCATCAAATATTTTTGGCCATATCACCCTGCCCTAATATTGAGCCTCAGAAAACATTTCAAGTTTACACACACAATATGCTTTTATTCACTTAAAATCCCACGACTCATTTACTATACAGTGACAGTAGGATTTTGTAAAACTGAAGGGGGAAACAGTTTAATGGCCCTAACCTGTTTTACTTGACACCTGGCATAAAGTACATTCTGGAGCAGGTCTGTCCAGTACATGTGGTTCTTCCCTTGAAACAATTGTAAACAGTCAAGTTGTCGTTATTTGTATTTGGATTTAAAGCAACACTGCAGACTAAAGTGCTTTCCAGAGGAAAAAAATAAGCCTTACGAATTAACCTAACAAGGTTTAAATATTGAATTTAAGACCTTACAATGTTAATTATGATGTAAATTTAGCAAAGTTATTTAAATATTAACAATTACAACAGGACAAAATATATGGACTACAAATGTACCTAATAAATATTAAACAAACAGTCTTCAAAGTATTAATATTTCAGAGTTCGGAGTAAAATATTAAGACACACACTATACAGTATTATTATTTATGCAGATGAACCTAATTTAGAACTAAAGTTGCACATGCACCACTAATATGCAAAGCAGGCAAATCAGAGGGATTCCCTGGATCCCCTGTGAGCAAACTTGGTTATTACATTTCTGTGTATTATTTTGTGTTTAAAAAAAAAAAAAAGTTTTATTTTGCATTATTTCTACCCTATTTTTGTACATATAGAAGGATTGTCAAAAATTAAAAAAGAGAGGCAAAATTCTGCCATTAGCTGCAGCCAGACAGGTTTATATGCATCTAATACCCACAGTAAAACTACAGTAGGTGAAGTCTGATGAGATCAATGAGAAGATGCACTTCCCATCTACAATGCTGTGATCATCTCCATCAGCTGCAGCTTATTTTCACAGGACCAGCTCAGTAGGAACAACCTCCTGTGTTTACCAGGCTCTGTTATTTCCCAGACGTTACAGCGGTGTAATGTTAGCCGACCTGCCGGCTGGTTGTCAACGACTGAGCTAAGCTAGCAATGTCCTACATTCGGCTAATTAGCTACCTAGCTAACCATTTGGCGGTGTATGGTCGATCATATAAATGAACATTGGCTCTGCTCGAAGAAAGCAGCCGTTTTCCATGTTCGGACTGTACACAAATATGATTTCAGTGTGCAATGAAACGCAAACCATAGTATCGCAGCAGCTAGCATGAAACCCGCGCAATATGAAACAAAACAGAGCGCTACGACAGGCCCAGCGGCCTGCGGCTCATCCCGGGCTATTCTACTCTCTCCCTGCATGTTGTCGAAACGCGCCTACAACACGATTCCCCCCAAAATGGCCAAATATGTAGAATAATCCCGCTGCAGTCAACATATAAACAATCTGCATCTTTCACCCCAACGCTGCCGGGTTCGATGATGCGGCTGCGCCGGGGCTGAAATAGATGGAGATTGCGCGGTAGGGCACTAACCTCAGAGCGGCTGCGCTACTTCGGGCCTGCGCCGTACAGCAGGGATGGAGCCGAGCTTTAATGGAGGACAGAGGGGAGCCAGCAGCAAACACAACTAACAAACCGCACACAACACTGAGCTGCACTAGCGCTGCCTTCAGGGGCCCCTCCTGAGCTGCGAAATACCACAGTCGCAGGGCTCACGACCTGTTAGGCAGAGCTGTACGAAGAAACTGACACAAAATTACATTGTGGGCATTTTAATCAGTGGTTTCACCAAAGGAGAACAACAAATTACATGACACAGCAAATACTAATACACTTTTTATCCAACCTGCGGTTGCTGCTAAATCAGAAGAATATGCATAAATAGTTCATGAAGTTTATTTGTATAGCTTGTATTTTAGACATAAAAGCAATTCAGTGAGTTTTTCACTTAAAGACAAACCATGCTTTAAAAAAATCTAATTCTGATTGGCTATCGATCGCCGTTAACAGTAAGTTCCATATTTCCTATAGTCAGTGAACACCACACAGAAACGGACAAACCACGCCCCCTTACTTGCACTCAGAGTCAACTGTACAGACGCTCTCAGACCGTCGCTGTCTGTGGTTTTAATATTATTTACGAACAGGGAAACAAAAACAAAGCGAAAAACAGGGTCAGAGGTAATGACATAGTTTTAACCAAATTATTTTCTTTCTGACAAAGCGTTATTGCCGAGAAAAAACAAGTTGCGTCAGCCCAAAACAGCCTTTCAAAGTTACTCCAATTAACAACACCTGGATCTCAGGTGTGTTCAGGTATATGGGCCTGCTTTCACATGAATGTGTTGATTCCTCAAAGAAGTTATATTTTCTTCCACTTTTACTTGTAAGCGTGCAGTTGTTAAGTTTATTTTCTTAATAGAATTTTGCACAATTATTTCTGAGACATAGCTGGACTTGTAAAGGTAATTAGTTGTTTCATGGGGTAAACTTATTTTAGTTAACCAACATATTGAATGTTTAGCAGCATTTCCAAACTGCTTTGAAGTTCTTCACGCTTACAGCAAATCTTCAGACCAAAGTATAAGTAAAAATGCCAAGAAAAGGAAAGGAATAATAAAAATCATCATTTTCTGGCAAGGTTTCTGTCTGATAAATATAAAGGTAATGCGTCTCTGGCTCTCATGATTAGTTTGATGAAGAAAACTGAGCTCACCTGATGATGTAAATCATATACCCCAAACAGGTTTACAGGACACAAGATGTGATGTGCAACGTCTGATGATTTGATACGGCACAGGTTCCATGGAAAAGTGGACTGACGCAGTCATAAAGTAAGCTTCTGATGATTGTTGACTATACAGACTTGTGAAAGGACGGGTGACATAATAAAGGGAAAACCAATATATAGTGTCTTAGTAAGGTGTTGGGGAACTGCATGCCACCAGAACAGCTTTAGTGCATCTTGGAATTGTGTCTACAAATCCCTGGTGCTCTAATGGAGGGATGAACACCATTATTCCAAAAGATATTCTCTTATTTGGTGTTTTATTGATGGAGGTGGGACGTGCTGTCTGACATGTTGGTCCAAAATCTCAAAATCTCATGTTCGATTGTGTTGAGATGTGGTGACTGTGACGGTCGCAGTGTATGATTCACATCATTTTCATCAAACCGTCCGACTCCTCGTGCCCTATAGATTGGCGCATTGTCTTCTTGCAAGTGACCAGTAACAGGATAAAGGTGATCTCTCAGAATAACTTTATATCGATTTGCAGTGACACTTTGCTCCAAGGGGACAAGTGGACCCAAACCGGGCCAGCAAATTGCCCTTCACAGCACAACACTGGATCTCCTTACATGTAGGGGTCAATAGTTCAGGCTTTTCCTTTAATTTGTCACCCGTCTGTGTAATGTGTTTCTCTCTTCTCCAAAGTAAGACCTCAAGAGGGCAGCGTTGCATTAGAAATCACACTTGCAACTCCTGCCCTCAAGTTTGCTGTAACAGGAGATGGCAGTAGGGCATCATTGATGCGGCTCTCCGCAGGTGCCCTGGCGTCTATTCAAGATGATGGATGTTTTACATTAGTGTGTGATGACAGCAGCTTATGTTTGTGTCTCACTAAATGTCAGCAAGTATCATATTCAAAAATCTGGCAGGAGAGCTGCAGAGTGTGATTCCGCATTTTACAGCTTCCATACTGTGTAAGTGACCTTCAATCCACTCCGTCTCACTGTCATCCTTCTGTCTGTCTGCCTTTGCTTTCAACTTGTGCAGACTGGATGCTATCATTGTCTTCTAATTCTACACAGCGGACAGACTATAGAAGCAGATGGGCATACTTTACACTACTGCTGGCAGAACTGTTATGAGAGTTTTAGATGAATTTGATGAGTCCTTTGCAATTGGTCCGATTCTTTATTTGGCTGTCTCACTATGGAAACATTTAAGGATTACATTTTTTGATGAACTTGTATTCAGGCCTACAGATTATCTTATCAGAGTCGTAACTTCTTAGAGGGTACTGTGTGTTCTTACATTTAATTTGTTTCTCAAGGGCACTGCAGTGTAAAGCAGATTCTGTTAGGCACGTGATGGTGTGACATAGATGGAGTGAAAAGCTGGAGAGTGTTAATGAACCAAGGTCTTATTATTTGGTCCTATTCTGCTTTCTCTTCCATGGGCTGTGGTTGGGTATAGATAAGGCTTGCCGCCTGGGGGTCTGGAATCAATAATGGATGTAATTGGTGAGCTGGAAGTGAGGATAATTGAAGGTAATTGTGTGGACTGTCACAAGCCGTGGAGAGAGGTCAAGGTGGTGGGGATGGGAAATGACTCTCATTGTACCCTAGTTTTTCTGTATCTACTGTATACAGGATTACATGGCAGCAACCCCTGAGTTCTGTTGACTTGCTACTTTTTAAAGCTTGAACTTGACAACATTTTAAGTAAAATTACAAGCATTTATCACCAACAACTCCAACACTGATGTGTTCATTTTCCCGTAGACAACATGAAGACATAGTCAAGTGATGGTTTTGTGTGAAATTGGATATTTTGCCCCTCCTTTAGTTTTGGTGTAAAGCCCCATAGGCCAACTGCACCGCTAAACAAAAAGATGTTCTGTACATTTTTCAGATGTTGCATTATATGATTGCTAGCTTTAAAGCATAAGCTTTAATAACTGATTGCTATCATTTGGAGCTGCAGGTGTTGCCTTATGCTGCATTAATTTAAATATGTGTGTAACTTAGAGCTCCATGGGCTTTAATTCTCTTGGGTTCCCAGATAATCTTCCATCCAGTACCAACTCCTTAATATTTTCTTCATCACATTTAGACAGTTTTTGACCCATAGGAAGTCCTGTGGCCACTTCATCTGGACAGGCTGTTTTTTTTCCTTGTTATTTCTTCTATCCAGATATTGTGCTGCTGGGCGTTAAGCAGATGCGTTGGAGCAGGTGTTGTGTGCTTGCTTTAGGGTGCCTCAACAGTAAAGTATGTCGGAGTGTGTGGTGTTTTATTTTATCTTAAATTTTTCTGCAAGGCAGTATTAAATCAGGCAACTGTTCAAATCTATAACCACCATGGTGCAACATTTTACAGTCAAGGCATTGTGCAGATGTCAATAGTAACGTGCATACTCAGCTTTCTTTAGGTAATTTACATTTGCCTTAAACAAGTCTTGTGTGAGCCTTTCAACATATAGAACACAGAGAATATTAATGGAGTAAACTCTCCATATTATCTAGTGCCAGGAGATTGTCTTCTCCTATTTGTGCAACTTTCTGGGAACCAGTGAGGTATTGAAATATTTTGTACGGTCAGCAGGGGGCACTGGAGCACCATGCATTAACCCAAAACTAATCCGCTGCAGAAACTTCATTGGCGCTCTGCAGAGTCATGGCCACTGAATGATACGACACATTCATTCATATTTCACTCTGAGAACATTCAGAGATTACTTCCATATCATAGCTCGGAGTAAAATTAATCCAAGATCTATGCTGTGCTATCTTTTTGTAGATTACATCTAATTTAGGGGTGGATTTTGCAGTTCAATTAGCTCTCTGTGGCAGAAAATACATTTTTTTTGACTTAGCATTAGATAAACAAAATGATGTGTGTAGCATAACCTTGGAAGTGCAAAATACATTTTGGTAGTTCGCACCATGAAACAGCGTTGGAGATGCTGCACAGCTTTCTTTGACTGTACAGTGCTCAGTACGGACTTGCTATTAGAGATTTTTTTGCATCCCGTAAAACTGAGAGAGAGGATGTCCAATTTAACTCTGGGTAAAGAGTGAAACACTGTCTTTAGGTTTCTGTGTATCTTTACAGAAGGCTTTCACAGCCTGGGGTTTTTAGGGCTGACACCAAAGTTGGGGGATAAAAAGTCCCTCCAAATATTTGCTCAGATTAACTGCTGAATGTGCACTAGAGATAAAACATTTTCCAGTTGAACAATACATTTTGGATTTGTAAGCACCATTTACATAACTGGTAAGTTAGTTTACGAACTTATATGTGCTTGCTGCAGAATTGCATAAACAAAGGTCTGTTGCACAAAGTGATTAAACAGTTTTTTAATTACCTCAAGTACTTCTTTTACCATAAGGAAATCGAAGCAATTAGTTTCTTTTCTTTTTTTAAAAATTCTGCTTGTAATCCAGTATGTACTTGCTGATAGTCAATATTTGCAACTCAGGGCTCTTCGTTCTTTAGAAAAACGTGATATAACCTACAAAGAGGCTGTAAACATTTCAAAGAGAAACGCAAGGACCCCATAGGTCAGTGGGAGCAGTGGTTGGATCGACAAAACTAAAATGTGAGACATTTTCGATGCATTTATACAGCATCAATCGTCCACTTTGATGTCGCAGCCAAAGGTTTCCAGGTGATCACACAACTTCACTGCTCTCCTATCACTGGCAGGCTCAGAGGTAGCTGCTCCAGCATCCCTCCTTGTAGATCCCACTCCCTGGGGGATCCGCTGAAGGATGTTGTCAGTGATGAATACTCTTTGTAATCTAACGGGATATTAGATTGGAAGCGCTCCTGCTATTTCACTGTACCTCACCATCCAGCTGAAGGAAAATGTGACTAGAGGGAGAACATTTAGAGTA